TTTGGTTGGATACTTCAGCGTTGATTTTTATTTCAAATTCTCTGTCTGTTAGGTACGACTGCAGTATTGCGAAATATTTGGCCGGTAGAATTCTTCTGATTTTATAAAGCAGGCCTGGATGCCAAACTTTGTCAAATGCCTGACTTACGTCGAGGAAGGCAGCAGTGCAGTATTGTTTGTNTGGTTGATTATATTAGCTATTCGGTGGCATTGTTGTACTGTGGAGTGTACCTTTCGAAAGCCAAATTGGTGATTAGGGATCCAGTCCTTTGGATTGGCATCGTGATTAATTCTATTGAGGATAAGCTTTTCAAGAAGTTTCGATATTATGGGTGACAAGCTAATTATATCAAAATATAAGTTACATTTAGTGAAAGTACAGAGGTCAGATGGGACAGAGGTAGCACTCAACCAACAGTTGAATAAAGATTTTTCTATGGAAAAGGGAATGAATTAGGTGCAGTTTTTTTGTACATAAGAGAATCATATCAGCAGTTAAGAGAGTAGAATTTGTTAGTGATAGGATGTCGTATATAATACTAAGAGGTCACTGGTGTGATATTATCGTTCTGAATATTTGTACCGCAACAGAGGACAAATTGATGATCTGAAGGTCAGGTTTTACTTAAATAACAGGGGTATTGGAGGGAAGAGGGGGGAAGCCATAAAAAGGGCAGTGTACACCAGGTGTAATGACTTAGTTCAAGAACCTAATGATGAAAATTTTAAGAGGGTTCTTCCATTCTTTCAGAGAGATGAGAGTTTATCTTGACTAGAATAGGTAAAGCCATTCTCTGTTCATGTAAATGGGATGGTGCTCCATCTGAATTTCTCTGATTTTTCATTCCACATGTCTCATTTTGGTAGAGAGAATATTGGTGTTCCAGAGGCAGAAGTGATGCCCTAGTTTGATGTTGTGCTCTCCAATTTCTGACTTATCTGCACAATCGAGGCGAATGTATGTTTTTCAAGATAATATTTGAACAGATCACTACTTTGTAAGAATAAAATTTCACTGATACAAACCCAGTCCAAACTCACTTTTCTTTTCTTTCGCAAATTATTCAGTTTCTTCAGGCACTGTTGTGGTGGAGAATATTCTATTTCAATGGAATTAATTTAATTTTTGTAGTAATATCGTATTATTTACTGTAAGGAACTGAGCACCGTGGTCTGAGAGGCTGTTGACCCCTAAGAGATGTACAAGATGAGCTTGAGCTTGCGCTATATATAAAAATATTATCAGTGTCTGCATTTGAGGAATTTTGAAGTCTTGATGCAAAATTCACATTGTGTAACAAACTGTATGTCCTTCGTAAAGAGTTCATTTGTGTTTTATGGTTATTTTCATTCAAGTAATGTATTTTTATGTCTGCAGAATATAAACTCACATTTTGAATTCTACAGACATTTTAAAGGTAACATTACAGTCTCGCTAGAAATTCATTAATGTCTCCTGAAGAAGCTCTGTACAAAGGTAAAGGTAAAATAAAGTTGCCCATATGCTTAACTGATTAACCACTACACCATGAAGGCTAATGGGGAGTGGATGCATAGATCTACATTTTCTTGACCTCAGCAATAACTGGAGGTTGCTTTATCCCTGGGGAAAGACCCAGGACCCATTGGATAGAAGGCTGTGTGTGCCCCAGTGCGGGTCTGGATGACGTGGAGAAAAGGAAATTCTTGGTCCTGCCGGGACTCAAACTCTCACTCCTCGGTCATCCAGCCTGTAGCTTAATATAATATAATTAAGTTAGATGTTTTAGTTACTAATTGAATTGCACAGATGTATGATTAGTGCATACTTGTATGTAAATGCTTCCACTTCATTATTTATGATAGAGACTTTATTACTGTGTTTGGTAAACCAGAACTTTAGTGAAGCCACTGACAGTGAAATATTAAGATGGAGTTATGTGGCTGCAGATAGATAAAGTTAAATGCCATTGTCACCACTGATGCCTTGCCAGTTGCAACCATCCATTCTCCCAACATCTGATCCTCTTTTCCATCTTCCAGGCATCCATTTCCAAGAGGTTTCTGCATCAGAATTGTGTATGGGTTCCATTTCTCCCTTCATCCTACCTACATGTCAGCCTACTATAGCATCTTAGATTTTGCTGTGGTAGGAATATCTGGGAGAGGTGCAAAAGAGTTTGCCTTGAAGTTAATATCCCAAAGAAACTGAAAAAACATGGAAAATTGCATGTTTGAATGTTTTTATGAATTTGTATCGTTTGAAAATATTTGTATCATGTACTGTTCGAAGGTGTGAGAAAAATTATAAAAGTGTTTATATATAAAACTGTAAGAAATTTGGATTCTCAGATATTTAAAGATAAAAGAAAGTATGATAATTATAAAATTAATTTGGAATTATCGGAAGTAAGGAAACTGAATGATTTCTGAAAATTTTAAAATTCCCTATTTCTTTAATTTTAAGAAAAAATTTCCAATTATTTTAAGTCAAAACTTTCGACAGATCAAGAGTTTCAGTTGTTAAGGAGATTCAAGACATTATATATATATAAAGTATGCCATTGTGGAAGCGCATTGGCCTTTTGCTCCAACCTAACCCAACCTAGCAATATTCAGAACTTAGGAATATTTGTAAACCTAAATAATTTCTAATATTTAAGAGCTCTTGACAATTGAGAAATTTGGGTGATTTTCAATGTTATAAATAAATCCCAGTGCTTTTTAATGTTGGAAACATTAGAGAATTAAGGAAATGATGAGTGAGTGTCAGTCTGATGTAGCCACGCCGAAATGCACAGTGGTGAAATGTTTTAGATGATTTAGATATTCCAATGTAAGATGAGTCTCAGGGGGCCTAAGTATGTAAGAAAAGATGATGGCCTGAGGCTTTTTTCATTTATTTTTATGTTACAGCTTTCACATCACATCTCAATAGCACTGAGACCTCACAGAAGCTATGTGAAAACATAGTCCTCCTTCCAGTCTGTCGAATAGATATAGATGTCTTCAGCAATAATACCTAGAAGGACACCAGGTGTCTGGGGCGTATCATTTGCATATATACTATACAATGTAGAGGACCAGATGGAACCTGGGATGGCCTGCTTATATACAGATAGATATTTCACCTTTGAATGAGACTGAATATTCTACAAGAAAGAAAATAGCTAATTAGCTTGATTAGACTGACAGTATTTTAAATTAATTAATTTAGATAGCAAGCTGAGATGCCACATTTTTCAAAGGTTTTTTAAATATCCAACAATACTGCATTGAGGACATGTTATTGTTGACATTAAAGGTGACGTGGCCCATAGGTCTCAAGCATTGAAATGTTGTGCTGTGATGGGCACGGAAACCAAACTGACTTGCGTTAAGCAGGCTTTTTTCTTCAATGTCCCTTTGGATTATTTTCAGAATAATTTTTGCAGGAAAGAATCTAATCGGACATAAATTCTGAGGGAATTTGGTTCCTTACCAGTTTTCGGTAATGTTATAACTTTTGCTGCCTTCCAAGATTTTGGAAAATGGGACAGCCGAAGGCAGTGATTTAATAATTGTCAGATATACCAGTGGTCTTGGAAGATTACTAAGGCATTTGTTCGGTATACAATCAAGAACACAAGCCTTTATCAAGTTGAATGAATTTGCTAAATTATGTGTGTCACAGGTTCTTACTTTTCTCAAGGTGGTGTATAAAGATCAGAGCAGAGCTTGGACTCTTTAAGTCATTACCAGTTGTGCACGGTTTTCGTCACACAGGAAATGATATGTCAAACGCTTTTCTAAAAAATCTGTAAACGCGTTAGCTTTCTCATTTGGGTGATATGTTATTGCTAAAGGACCATGAACTGCAGTTGGTGCCTTTGGCCCATCCAGTTTCATAAGCAGTTACGCAATAGTCCACAGAGCTTGAGGTTTGGCTGCACACTTACCTACTTTTATTTCCCATCATTCAAGTGTCCTAGGGGTCATTCGTCAGGTGGTTTTGGGTACCCAGTTAACTGCCGTTTTATGTGCTGGATCCCAGGTTTCTTGCCACAGTTTTTTAACCTCTGCCTATGTTTTAGCATACCCTGCAGACAAGGTATTAAGGTCTGAGATTGTAATTTTACTTGTCGATAGCTTGTATGCCAAAACTATAGAGGCATTAAAGCTGTGGACCACTTTATCGGTTTCTTCCCTTGAGTTAATTTTTACCCACTTAGAAGTGGGTTACATAACCTCGTTCCACTGTTTATCAGGGGTCTGTCTTCGTGGTAACTTGTTTCACATCCCGTCGCCCAACAACGGGTTGACATGTCACAATAATTTTTATGAATTCTTAAACTTGACACCAGCTGGAGGGAATTACTCAGCTTCATGCCCTGGTCACTTTACCTCTTGGAGAAAAAGCCTCTGATACCCATTTGTAGGAGGCTGAGTGATTCTAGAACTCTTCTGAATGCTGCAAAGAAGAGAAATTTTGTGCCTCCTCTAGGAATTGAATCCCAGGTCCTCAGTCATCCGTTCTATAAACTGGCTGCTGTTCCAGTTGAGCTGTAAACAAATTTCACCGTAGATTTTTCTTTGAAATCAGCTCAAGTTAAAAACTACACTGCAAGAACTACAAAACGCTACCTGATTATTTAATACTTTTGACCTGGGAAAATGTAACACTGCTGCACCATGTAATCCTAGCAGAGAAGTAGTTTATATTTGTCATGAACACATGTTTGGACCATATTTGTGAATCATAAAAACAGTGTTGTGCTAAGAGAATGACGTCTCATCCAGCTTCCTGACCCATGAAAATGGGGCTCAAAGAATATTTAAATAAAGAGATCAGCAGTGAAACAGACTCATAACTTTCCTCTGGATCTTCAAAGTCACGATAGTACTCTTTCCTCTTTGCAAAAATGTGGGGTTCATGAACTGACCCCCTTACAAGATGAAGAAAGAAGCAAAACATTGATATTTGCCATTGTACACTAAGGAATCATTATGGAGATTGTAAATCAAGAGTGACATGAGTGTAGTATGTGTTCTTTAAAAGACATTTTAATTATGCATATATATTGTAGCCTACATTTGAAATATTCCTTATAAAATCTGAGCAAAACGTTAATTTCAAAGAAAGAGCCTCTGTTATGATTAAAACTAGATGTGAAGCTAAGATAACATGTCAATTGAGTTTCGCAGTTCTCTTCTGTTGATTTTGCCAGTAGTTGTCTTTGGAATGAAGTTAACAAACCACACTCCCCCACTCAGTCTTTTGTATGGTGACACCTGACCTGTAATTAGAAGACAATTATGACAGAATATCCATGAGAACTTGTAGTCAGAGTACTCGAATTGGCAACTTTCAGATTACAGTAACCATATATTCCTCATATATTGTCATGTGTAAGGAGTTCCATGACTAATAATAATGGGTCTGGATTGAATGATTGGGTTTGTTAACACCTTCTTTTATGATCACTCTTAATCACCAAAAATTTACAATAACTCACAATACACCTCCTAAGTCTGCTTTCACTAGTCGTTTCTTGGTTACATGTCTCAACAATAGCTATTCCTCTGCAAAGTTATCACTGTACTACAGCAAACATGAAGTCCTCAAATCACATGTTAAGTCTTCTCTTCCCAGACTGACTTTCAAGTCACAACTAACCTGCACTCAATAATTCTGATACCTCAGTTCAACTCCTCTGCTTCCAAGCTCACATCCTGGCTCACTGCTGCTTGAAACTTGACTGTTTCAATTATAATCTCATACTCTCCATTGTATTCTCATTCTCTTGACTCTGGTTCTTACACAACAATTCTCTTACAGATTCTGAACTCCGAGTCTAATTCTCTAATCTAGCTACAAACAGACTCTTGTTATATAGCTGCAGCATGGACCACACAGAAAACACCCTATTCCATTAGGGATGCATGTTTACAGCTCCATTGCCTTTCACTCAGCATGGCATGGATCACAAAAAAAATCCTCTTCTCTTGTTTGAATCGTTGTACTACCTAGAAACGAGCTGTAGCGTGGTCCACGGAGACACAGTTCCTATTGCTGCATGTTCACTCAAAGGTGTATACTGAGCTGTTGCCTACTGTGGGTTGATATGTCATGTAATGGTATATATCTATAGTTATATTTATAGTATACATGATATTTAAATAGATTATTGCATATAATATTAAATTAATTCTACAGTTAAGAGTTAAGGTTGATGACTTATTCTTCATATGAAGATGGAAGCAGTGTATTCCTAAAAAATTATTGTACCCAATATCAGTCTGTAGGTGTTGTAACCAAGAAATCATAGAATAAACAGTTTTGCAGTTATTTCTTACTGTTTAGTGTTCCTTCTTCTTCATCTTATGTATTCATGATGTTACAGTACTGTTTGATTTAAAATTACCATCTTTATGCTTCTAATCACATATTTTTACGCAGCAGCTTGCCTCTGATGTCTTCTTTCATTTAAAAATGTTGGGGGTGTCATAAACACCATGAAGAAAAACACAGCTGTAATAATTACTATTAAGAAGGTTGATCTAGAAGTAAACACAGAAAAATAAATATATGTTGATATTTTGTCGCCAGAATGCAAGACAGAATTATAACATCATGACAGCTAGAAGGTCCTTTGAAAATGTGGCAAAGTTCAAATATTAGGCAATGACTGAAGCAAATAAAATTTTGTTTATGAGGAACTTCAGAGCCAGTTGAATTAAGGTAATGCTTGCCATCATTGAGTTCAGAACCTTTCATCTTCTCATCTGCTGTCTAAAATATAGAAAAATAAATTCTGTCCATAGTTTTAAAATCTGATCGATTGATCATCCTAATACTATTTGGTGAAGTGTACAGTTTATGGTACTCCTTATTGTGCAGTTTCTCCATCCTCCTGTTGTTTGCTGTTTTTTTAAATACTTTCCTCAAAACTTAATTCTAAATATAATAAACATTGCTAACTGCCTCTAGTCTGTACAGCAAGTGTTGCAAAGTGCATGGTATCATGTTATTTCAGTTCTAATGAAGTAGTTCTTGTGTGTTATCTTGGCAACAATAATAGAAAAACAAAGCTTGCCGTAGTCTCAGAAAATTAATACTTACGAGCAACATAGGCTTTTATTTCATCCTCTGTAATATGAGAGTCAGGTTCTCTGACTATGAATGCTCCTGGCAGTTCTCCATATGTTTCATCCTCAATACCAACAACAGCAGCATCCTCAATAGCTGGATGCACAACAAGAATGGATTCAAGTTCACTGGGTGATACCTGCAACCAAAATTGTTCCAAATTTTCACATTGAACACAAAATTTTGAATTTTTAAGAAGATATTAACATTTTTAATACAGCTGTTCACAATGAAACTTCATCTGAATAAGGAAATACTTTAATTTTCGATTATCACTTTGCAAGATTAACTCTCATGAATAGAGCTTAAAATTAATCCTTTATGAAACAAATTTAAATTCACTTGTAAGCTGACATTCTCAGATCAGTTATTTATGTACAATTTAAACACTGCATTTTAATAAATAAAGGTGTCTCAGAAATTTAATTTTTCTGACTTCTCTTGCATTAAGGGAACATTATGCATGACAACATTGACATGGAGTGGATCATCAGAGGACCAACAGTATTCTCCAAACAAATATATTCATATCATACATCACCAACAGACCCTAGCTGGCAAAATTCAGAGGAATGTTCTGACATTTTAGCGCCTGTCAGTCACAGAGAGAGCTATAGGTAACAGATTATAGCTGACTGCAATAGTCCAACTTTTGTAGGTTACTATGAATACTGAAGCAAACACTTAGCACATTGGTGGCCGTTTCTTCTCGTTGTTGTTCCATGTCATGTGAATGACCCTTTAAACGTGGCAGAGCATTAAAGGTTCAAATTCCTCAGTAAAGTTAGTTCCTGTTGTAAGCATAAAAATCTAGTCCACTGTACAAAATACACATATACAAAATATAAGCGTACCTTAATATGTTAAGTTTATGGGATTTTGTATATGCATTTTTCACTGTTAGGAAAATCCCCTATTTACATCCTCCATGGTTTTTTTGTTTTCTGAGGAAGGCTCAGATAAATTAATTGAAAACTACTAAATTACAAGAAGAAACCACAGTTGATCAAGAATCAGGGTGTGCTTCTGCTGGGGATCTTACCTCTCCAGCACACCATGGACATGAATACCATCAAGACCATATTAAATTTTTTGTTTATATTGTTATATGTCAGTTTGCTTTTAAATAACCGAAACTGATCACAGTTGCCAAATCTGTCATTGAAAATCATGTTCTCAGAAATGTGATCCATGATTTTAGCATGGAGTTTGTGTAAATTTTGTTTTTTTCACTCTGTGCTTTTATATGTTAACACAGTTTTCCAGTAACACATTTCCAACATAAATCACAGTATACATGAACAATTTTCGTTCCTTTTTGTGACAAAGGTGGAAACTGTAACATCAGATACCTGGTATCCTTGATATTTTATCAACTCCTTCAGTCGATCAACAATGTAGAAATATCCATCTTGATTATAATATCCCAAATCACCTGAATGAAACCAACCATCCGTATCAATTGCTTTGCTGGTTTCCACAACATTCATCATATATCCCTTCATAAGAAGTGGACCCCGGAAACAAAGCTCACCTCTGCAGTTGGGGCCAATCATTTTTCCTGTCTTCACATCAACAACCTACCAACAAATGAGAAAGGAAGATCACTCTAGTTATTTCATAGTAATGGCTGTTGGCTGTGAACTGTAACACTATGCCACATTCATTGGTATTTAATGTATTCTGATGCATTCAGATCAGTTATTACATACACATATGTATTGTCACATGTTGGGTATGTTACACGACAAATAATTTTACGTGAGTCTTGGATATAGCGAATCTTTATCGGACACTCACTCTTACACACCTTACAATTATTACCACTTGCAATATCACTTGACTTCTGGCCCAATGCGATGTCTCAACTATCCTTGGCCGTGGTTGGATCTCAACTGTCTCTGGCGGTGGCTATCCCAAGATTGTCTCGTTCTCAATACTCAATATTCTAATCTTCAGTATTCCATTTCCGCTCGAGGCCAGGCCCTTTGTATAAGGTGCACGCGGACTCAATAGAGGACACCCCTCGCCAAGGTTCGATCTCACGTATTCGGCAATCCCTTGCTTCAGGAACGTTCCTTATAGATTACACCAGTAACGTGTCTTGTCTCATCCATTGTTACTCAACGACAGTTTATTGCTAAGCTTTGTTGCTGCAGGAACTCCACAATTACCATGTATTCATTGTCGTGGAAGTGTCCGTTCCAATTATAGCGGTTGTCACGGTGAAGGACATAAGGTAACGCGTCACATTGCTCCCTTCTAAAGGTTGTTCATCCCCGAACAGCCTAATGGTACTTCCTTGGTTTCGTTTCCTAAGGTGTTCATCTTCGTAACAGTATCTCTGTCCTTCCTGTGGTGTTTTGATGTTTGACTTCTTCCATCCGCCCCCTTTCTTCCAGAGTGCTCGCCCTGAGCACTTCCAAGGTCCAGGATTTGTTGGTCCCATTGTCTCACATTCTTTCCTCATTCATTCTTGCTAGGGAGGCTGGTTCTTCTGCGTTACTGGTTCCTCCCATATGGGTCGTTTCCCTTTTTTCGTTTTGGAGGGGGTCGACCCCTCCACAGTGACCAGTTTTTGATGTCTGTATTTGTTGCAATTCCATGCTTCATGTCTGCTTGTGCAGCCCATAAGGTGTGTCACAATACAACTTGTTTCTGTGAAGTTTCACAAACCATACAATATTTGTACCACCACTGCTGTCAGACTTCGTGGATCTGAAGCAAAGGATTGCTGAAACAATAATGTCAGTTACCAAAGACATGCTGGTCACCAGTCTGGAATGTACGATTGACATCTGCTATGTAGCTTGTGAGGACCATCAGTTTGTGTGAAGTTTGTAAGAGACCTGGAGATGTCCTCTATCAGTCTTTATGAATATGGATAATTTAATTTCTATGAATTTTTTAGGTGCTTACTTCATTTTGAATGACCTTACATGTATGGTACCTTGCATTCCATTCCTGGTGTGACTTTTCCTGGCGTTCCTAGCCTGCAGTTATCGACTGTGCAGGTGAACATTGTAAATGTTGTTTCTGTTAGCCCATATGAATGATGAAGTACAGCACTCCCAGCTAGTTTCTCAAGCACCAGCTGTTGAAGTTTGACACTTAAAGGTGCGGCACCTGTCCAGATGTGACGCACAGAGCTGCACTCAGGTTTATCCAACACATCCCTCTTCATGAGAAATACTAGCAAAGATGCCACTAAATACAAACAAGTTACCTGCAAGTTCAATAATAAAGATGTCTGTAACTTTAATTGTTTCTTGCATCCTGTTGTGTATTTAATCAATATTAGAGTTAATTTTTACCGACCACACAACACGTTTTTATTATTGTTACACTACATGTTTCGACCTCAAGAGGTCATCCTCATGTGTACGAATACAGTTGCACAATCACACGCAATCACATTCGTTTTTCCACTTATTTTGATCCTGTATCCTGTTCAGGTCCACGCTCAATAATCTATGTTAAGTTCTTCTTATAAAATATAAGTTAAAAATACTATTCCAAATGTTAAAAGTTAAAATTTAAAAAATATATATATAGTTCACTTTAACTAATTATATTATTACCACTGGTTAAAAAGTTCCTGAATTAAAGTTCAACTTATCATACTGGCTGCACTTTCACTTTTGAAGGTATTGCTGCTCTTCCGCGTCCTCTGTTGCTGGTTTCTACTGTTCACCAAATATCAANGTAGACAAATACAAGTTACACTTAAACACAATAAAGAAATTACCTTTACATACAAACATTTTATTTGGAACCATAATAATAAAGCTTCCACTGGATACAAACAAATTACACTCAACTCTCGATTATCTGGGGGCAGATAAACTGGTTTACGGCTTAACCGGGGCTTTTTTGAGGCTTATATGTTGTTTAATATTCATTCACTTTTGTTTCAAATGGTGAGTTGTAACACTATATTCGCACTAGTGTGAACCGAGCTCTGCATTTTTTGCTCGCGTTATGCTAACACATTGTTCTAGGATAAGGGTGAAAGAATGCAAGGATTTGTGGAAAATTTCAAGGACAGATACACCGCCCCAGTTAGTCTCTTTGTATTGATCTTCAAGTGCGTTAGCATATTGTGTTAAGTATTCAACAGAAACTCGTGTGAGCCGGGCTTCGAAATGTTAAGCAGTGACAAAATCGTAAGTTCAGTGGGGGTGCAGCCAGAAGAGCGGGAAGAAAGTGAGAATGAGGAAGAGGTGGACAGTGCTGGTAGTAAGAAAATATCACATGGTGCTGCTCTTAATCATTTGGAATCCTTACTAGACTATCTTGAGAGTGAAGAGAACAGTTTATTAAGTGACAAGCTAATATTACGTTGGCTTTGTACGGATATCCATAAAAAGGAAAATGCTGCGAAAAAGCAAATGAAAACATTAAATTTTGTTAAGTGTTAAGTGTGAATATTTGTAAACAGTGTTGGATGTTGTTGAACACTGTGATTGAAATTACTAATTCATGCTTCAGTGTAATGTAAAAACAGTTAAATAGGCCATGAGATGACATAAAAATGAGGTTCAATAAATTTAAATACACATAGGCCTATAGTACAGTGCGTACAATCAAGTGCGCGCCGCGGCTGCAATTTGCCGTGAGTCATACCACCGCAGAACGGATGCAGTCGCGGGGAGGAGTTGCAACACTCCCCGCGACTGCATCCGTTCTGCGGTGGTATGACTCACGGCAAATTGCAGCCGCGGCGCGCACTTGATTGTACGCACTGTATTATGAAGGTACAAGTACAGTATTGCAGTACTGCTTTGAATAAAATTTGTCTTAACCGGGTTTCCGATTAATCGTGATTTCCATCCCTACCATTATCCCAGATAATCGAGAGTTGAGTATACTTCCAAATGTTGCAGTATCCTTGGAAGAAATCTATTGAAAGTCACCTGGAATTGCCAAGCTTGCCAAATTCATCATTTCAGATCCATTTTCATGTTTTCCTCTGTCACAAGATATCATTCCATTAACTTTTTTCTTTTCTTTTATTTTGAGGCACATGATGCATGTATGTTTCTGTCATTACAGAATTGTGATTCAAGATAATGAAAATAGGTCCATTATGGCAGTGGTTTAAGTTAGACATAACTGATTCAGACTTTCAGGGCAGTATAGTTTACACAGACTCAGACAGTCTTGAAAATAAGTCACAATCACTCTGTTTATAATCTAATTGTCCACAGCGTAAAATGTTTCAATGTTTATCAATGTCTTCTGACATACAGACTAGTAAAACAACAGTATGTTGTCTGAGGATCAGCATCTTCCTCTCATGCACTGTAGAATGCCAGTCATAATCCAGCTACCTAAATACCATGGATCATAATCCTTGAGCACCTAATAGTCACTTGTCTAATCATGATATTCCCATCAAATAACTGTCTACTAATGTAACTATTACTAACATGTCTGAACATATTTATTTGCAATATACAAATTAATGTCCTCATTTGATACAATAACTGTAAAGACCATGATTTATTTCACCGTCTTTTAGTGCATACACTTATCTACCTCCTTTCTCCCGCACTACATGTTTCGGCACAAAAGTGCCATCTTCAGGTGCTTATTCGATTAACATTAAACTAGTTCACTGTATGCCTTGTCTTCATATTAAAATAATTAAAATATATATTTATAAATATAAATATTTATTTATATAACTGTAAAGACATTGCACTCTCCCATACTCATCATTTGTAATTAAAATCTGTGCGTAGGCTTATATGAAGTAAATTTCCAAACACATCTTCCAAGGAAATTATTGAGTTTTTGGACTCTATACATCATCCTGTTTTTATTTAAAATGTATTTCGGAGATTGGGTTTTGTCTCTGTCTTCAGGTAAAAGCCAGCTCAGTTGGGCACAATCAATATAGTCCCTATCTCTGAACCTCTTAGATCTTATACCATCAAAGGTTATGGAGATTTTAATATAGCTCGGCTTTTCCATATACAAGAGATACAGCAACTAACTAAAAAATTCCATGTTTTCATCCTCAGCAATCATTCCACAGTACGTACCATATAATGGAAAGAAGGGAACAGAACCCCATTTTAGTTGATAACAGTAAAATGTGATGAGTTATGAAGTAGTGACTTTCCTGGTTGTGATGATATATACAGAGTGTTAAAAAATTATTACAGGCTTCAAGGGGACATAGTCCTTAAATGCATAAAAAATTCCCTGTCAACATATGTGTACATCCAGAAATTAATGGCTGCTGAGGTATGGGCGAGTTTTGCATTTTATTGGTACTGGGGTAACACTGCAGTGTACAATAAAGGGTCAGTGTGCCTCATATACCTTTAATTACATTTCCCTTGCATATGTTGTGACTATCTCAGTAAACTCCATTGATGCACTACTTGTATACTACTAAGGAGAACACTGGTAGTTAGTATTGTGATACTCATTGGACTTCAAACACTTTTAGTGGTTTTGTAATGGAATCTTATTACTTTTCTTAAAAAATTGCAGATATGCATTTTGTGTATGGTCATGCCAATTGGGAAGCATATTTCCTGTACACAGAGCAGAATCCCATCACAAATTATTCACAAACTTCACCAGAAACTGAGTGAATCTGGGTTGTTCTGCTCCATGGGTGTTGAATAACAGAAGCCCCCAATCAATTCAAATTCTCAATTTGGAAGTTTGCATATTGTGAAGAATGGATGAATATCCCAGAATCATTTTGTTGTTAACACCTGCAGCTGCTGAAGATATCTGTGTTCCCCTTGTCTGGGAAATTCTCTGTGAACAATCAATTTAATCATACCACATCCAGTGAGCACCAACCCTCACCCCTTATGACCATTGTGCAAGAGTGGCGTTTTGCCAGTGGCTTCTCACAAACTGCATTGTAAACATGGGGTTTGTAGCTAACACCCATTTAGTGATGAGGCAGGATTCATTAGGGATCTTATGGTGCACTTTTATAGTACCCATTTCTTGATGGATGACAAATACCCACTCCACTGTAGCAACAGTACATGAACATCAATTTTCCATCAGTGTCTTGCTGGGCAACTTAAGCAATCAAATCTTAGGACAAGTTGTCTTACCTAGCAATGCAGTGTATTTAATTTTTGGTGAATGATTTACCAGTACTCCAGGAACATGTGCCTCTTCTTCACTGACAGCACATATGGTACATTTATGATGGGGCATCACCTCATTTGCTGTACATTGTCAGACAGAACCTGAACAAGACTTTCAGTGAACTGTGTATAGGACGCAGAGGCCAATTCAACTGTAATATACAATCCCTTCACCTTAAACTTCTGGATTTTTGGCTTTGGGTACACCTAAAAACTTTGGTGTCTGCAGCACTGATCAATGACTTGAAGGACTTACCTATTAGGATATTTAAATGTAGCCAAAAATTTTCAATAGAGTGTGAAACTCTGTGCAACAAAGAGCTGAAAGTTGTGTTGAAATGCGTAGGAACCACATATGGCATCTGTTGTAGAAATCACATGCTCAGTGCCCATATCTCAGCAGGCATCAGTTTCTGGATGTATGTTGACTTAGAATTTTTTACTCATTTGAGCGAGTACTATACCGATTTGAAGCCCATAACCCATTTCTTTAACACTCTCTATATGTAATATTAAGTGATCTGATTAAACCAATGTATTGACTAGCAGAGCCCATAGACTGTTGATTGAGAAATACTGACATGCTGACAGTCACAAAACCCAAAATACGCATGTGCAAGTCTAAACATTTTGTGATATATCTTGTTCTGCATTAAATTTGTATTTCTCTTTTTGATAATTGAAGTTTGAGTACAAAGTGAAATCTACAGAGAAATTAAATTTAGAGAATTGCAATAGCAGTTTCTCTCTACAAAATTAAGTGAAAAATGTATATTTTAACATACCTTATGTTCTTTGATGGATTGTATGAAGGGATCTGGCTTAAACTTACACACCACGACGACACGAGTTCCTTCACACATACACATAAGTACCAGCAGCAGACCATATGCATGACAGAAGGGAGGCACTCCTAGTGCAGTCTCATCATAGCTGGTATAGTCTCCACTAAAATGTATAAGAGTGTATTAACATGATCTTCTGGATTGTAACGCCTTATATTTTAGAAATATCCTCTGATGGTTCAGAGAATCGTCAGTGTACTTCTGTCAAACCTCTATGGTGTTATAACCCACAAGATTATACTCTTCATAGCACTACTCAAAGAACCTCAAATACAACAAGAATAAGTGCATATGTCGTACTGAAAGTCGTGAGCAACAATTTTTTGTAAAGTAACATGCTTTCTTATTGACAAACCAAATACACCACCTCAATCTACAGACCTTTCTTTATTTTTCCACATAATCGTCACTCCTTTGTACACATTTCTCCCAGCATTCTGGGATTTTGAAAATTCCCCTTCTGTAAAATTCCGTTCCATCCATCCGAAGACACTGATGCACTGCTTTCTGAATTCAGTGTGCTTATGGAAGTGTGTGCATGGGTGCGAACAGTGTTCGAAGATGGGTGAAACATTTTAAAGATGGGAACACCAGCATCGAAGATGAGCCTCAAAGCGGTCGTCCTCGAACAGCCTCAACTGAACGCAACAAGGAAAGAGTGGATGAGATCATTCAAGATGACAGGAGTGTGACTGTGGACACAATAGCCCAAAAACTTGGAATAGGGCACAATGCAATACAGGAGATGATTGAAAGCTTGGGCTATAGGAAAGTTTGTGCTCGTTGGGTCCTGCGGTTATGGACTGAAGACCACAAAGGTCACATTGGAAGCAATTGCAAAGATGGGGTTGGAAGTTCTTCCACACCCCTCCTGTAGCCCTGATCTGGCACCCTCCGACTACCATCTTTTCAGATTTGTGAAGGAGCAGCTGTGTGGACAACCTTTTGAGACAAGGGAGGCAATTCAGAAAGCAGTGTGTCAGTGTCTTCGGATGGCTGGAACGGAATTTTCAAACTCCCAGAACGCTGGAAGAAATGTGTACAAAGAAGTGGCGATTATGTGGAGAAGTAAAGAAAGGTCTGTAGATTGAGGTGGTGTATTGATTTGTCAATAATAAAGCATGTTACTTTACAAAAAATTGTTGCTCATGACTTTCAGTACAACCGTCGTACATTTTTCAAACAATTCTGAGTTACATGAAACCACTTGAGGGACACTGCCCATTATTCCAATATAAATTTAGAACAATTAATGATTTTAAAGTACAAATTAAAGCAAAATTAATTAAATTTGTGTACTGTCCTCACATATACACAGTAGATGAAATATTGTTGTATTATTATTAAAGTTGTGTCCCATGCTTTTAAGGAGGCAGCAGATATATTTCACTTGTATTTTTTTGTTTTTGTATTACTGTTCTGACTTGGAGATACAGAAACTAATTCAGAATCCATTGTTTGTGTAAAAGTACAAAGTGAAGCATTGTACCTGTTTTGTATCCACCAAAATTCCTTCAACATATATAAAATGAAAGAAACAGAACAACTAATGGGAGACTAAATGTAACTTATTTAATCATCCAGACATGTCCATTTTCAATTTATCCATTTTTAGTCAACATTTATGCTATGGTGAGTCCCTGCACAGGCAATTAGTCTATTCAAGCTATGGGAAAATATGTATGAAAATTGTGAAATTGAGTGTGTAATAAAATTCAGTGATTTTTAACTGACAGCCAAATCTCAGCCAGAGCTCTTTGAGTTGGGTGATGGGACAGTAAGGATGAGGAAGGTGAGTCATGACACATTATTAGATGGTCCTATTCTGACATGTCTGAAGAGATTGAAGAAACAGAAGAATCCTATCAGGATTCTAAACTCTACACAAGACTGAAACAGTCACCTCCCCAGTGCAAGTTGCCAAGCACTGTGTAGTGGTTAAATGCAGGAAGTATCCATTTCAAATTTTGACCAGGATACCAGTCAGAGGTTTCTGGGTTTTCCCTGTCACTCCAGGTAAAGGGTGAGAGAGTACCTTGAAGCAAACCGTAAGTGCTTCTTTCCTCATCCTCTGCAACTCATCACATTATTTCTCATTCAGTGCTAAATATCTGGTGAAGATGAATGTGCAATCTTAAGTAAGACAGAAAATCAAAAAGTAGGTAAATATCCAAACACTGTGGTGCTCCTGCTCATTTGGCATCTCATCCTCCAGACAGGGTGAACAATTCAATTCAATTTTATTTCATCCATGAATCATTATACATGATATGGGACAAGTCAAAGATTAATATTAATACTAATACTAAATAGTAATAAGAATATAATAATACAGAAATAGTATGACAAATTATAATAAATGATAATAATAATAATAATATAGGAGCCGCAATGGCTCAGTTGTACAGCGACTAGTCTATGGAATGGACGACCTAGGAGTCGGGGTTTTATTCCGGGCAGTGACAGAATTTTTGTCTTCTCCATAGCGTCCACACCCGCTCTGNTGTAGATCCACTTGAGCTCAATATAAAAGCTGGTAAATCTTTAGTCTCTTTTACATGGGCTTCAAGTTTCTCTTCTGAATCATAAGTAACATTGAACATATTTCCATTGCAAGCATTTCCTTGTTCTTTCTTCAACCCTGGACTTATGAATGTTGAGTCTAAAATCTCTTCCAAGGGCACTGTGTACTTTGGGAGTGATTTGCCCTTTGAATCCCAGACAAACACTTGTTTCACGCTCCTTGACTCCAAATATTGCTCCAGTTTTGTCTCACATACAGATATTGAGCACATTACCAATTTAGGCTGGGAGACTGATAAGGCATGTTCCCATTCTCCTGGAATGGCACAATTCAAAGAATAAAAACTGCAATATTAAACACAGAATGCGTGTTAATATTGCCCAGAAATTCATATCATAACTTAATAAACTTAAATACATTTATAAGACATAGACAAAAAAATAAAAGTTATGTTTCCATTTGTCTTGAGGAAGAGACATTAGGCGTATACTACTCCTAATGTCTCTTCCTCTTCCTCGTATTAACATGATCAGTGTAGGGTCCTTACTGATTCCCTTTTGCTTCTGTATGGTATCATAGTTGGTTGAGGCAACTATGCTACAAGCTGGAAGGTTGTGGGGTCAAATCCTGATGAGGTGGATTTTTTCAATTTACCTAATCCTTCCAGCTGCACTATGGCCCTGGGGTCCACTCAGCCTCTAACGGAAAGGAGTACCAGGAATATTCTTGAGGGTAAAGAGCAGCTGATGTATAAGGCTGACAACCTTACTGCCATCTATGAGCCAATTGTCTATAAAATGCGGGAACCTCAACATCTCACAACCCTATGGGCCTCCACAGCCTGTTACAGGGATACCTTTACTGTTACTTTTTACTTTCTACAATTATGTAGTAGTGTGATGGAGGTTGACTGGTTATTCAAAGTATGTGTATAAACTATTCATTATAATTAACTAACTTCATGAGATAGAGCCCTTCTTAAGAAATTAATTGTTACTCAGCTAGTCAAGAAATTCCATTGATATCTGAGGGTTAAGAATCTTTATGAATTGAATTGAATTGAATTGAATTTATTTACATTCTATAAATCCTAAGCAGGTTAGTACCTTTGGATACAGAACAAGTCAAAATGTTACATACATAAGTACAGGCAATTTTAGCTTAAAAATTAATATAACTTAATTTTACATCATTCTCTATTTACATTGAAGTATTCATCTAAAGAGTAGAAGGAATGAGCATGTAGATAATTCTTTAACTCTGATTTAAACTTTTTAGTATCATTGCCCAAGTTTTTAATACTTTGTGGCAGATTGTTGAACACTTTTATGCCAGTAAAGTAGACTCCTTTTTGATATACTGATAAAGTTGATGAGGGTAGGTGGAAGTTATATTTTTGTCTAGTATTCATGTTATAGACATCAGAATTTAATTTGAATTTATCTTTGTTGTAAACAACAAATAAGAGAAGCGATAATATGTATTGCGATTGAAGAGGTAGAATTTTTAATTTCTTAAATAATTCTCTACATGAATCTCTACTTCTACATCCTGTAATGATTCTAATTATATTCTTTTGTATTTTAAAAATTATTACACTATGTGAAGAGTTCCCCCAAAATATTAATCCATAGTTCATAATAGAATGAAAGTAGGCATGGTAAACCATCTTCAATGTTTCCTGTGACATAAAAGGCTTAATTGATCTCATCGCATAGCAAGCTGCATTTAATTTAGGTATAATTTGTTCAATATGTATTTTCCAAGACAGTGTACTGTCTACATGTATTCCAAGGAATTTTGTATCAAGTACTTTACAGATTAATTTGTTGGCATAACTGATGTCCAGATCAATTTGGTGGTTGTTTTTAGTTGTGAATGATATGTAATGGGTTTTATCAAAATTTAATGAGAGTAAATTGGCTTCGAACCATCTGTTTAAGGCTTCAAATACAATATTTATGTCATTTTTAAAGTTGTCAAATTTAGAGTTCTTAAATATTATACTAGTGTCATCTGCATATAGAATTGGTTTAGATTTATTGTTGATGGTTTTAGATAGATCATTTATGTAGAGAAGAAAAAGTAAGGGACCTAAAATTGATCCTTGTGGAACACCGTGCTTTATAATTCCCCAGTTTGAAAATGCATTATGACTGGAGTTTTTATTATTTATTTCAACTCTTTGATACCTGTTTTTGAGGTATGATTTGATCCATTCATTAGCTTTGCCAGTTATTCCATAGAAATTTAATTTCGATAGTAAGATATCATGATTAACACAATCGAAAGCTTTTGCTAGATCACAGAAAATCCCTCCCACAATTAATCTGTCATTGAGAGCACTTAAAATATCGTTAGTTAGTTCATAGGTTGCTTTTTCTGTTGTTAGGTCTTTCCTAAATCCAAATTGCTCTTTGACTAATATGTTGTTAGAATTTAAGTGTTCAAGTAGTCTATTATACATAACTTTTTCAAAGACTTTTGAGAATGAAGTCAATATGGATATTGGTCTGTAATTAGAGATGCATTTTCTCTCTCCTTTTTTAAAAAGTGGTTTCATTACAGCGTATTTTAAGCGTTGAGGAAAAGTACCTGATGATAAAGATTTATTACATAGATGATTCAAGGGTGAACTGATGTAAACAGAGCTTGCTTTAAGTAATTTGGTAGAGATTTCATCATATCCATGTGAATTTTTGGGCTTAAGGGATTTAATAATGTTTTCAATTTCCTTCCTTGTTGAGAATTTGAGATTGATATTTGGAAATGAATTGTTAAAGGCACGAGACAGATAGTATATTGGATTATTATTATTATTATTATTATTATTATTATTATTATTATTATTATTATTGGAATATGTTTTCTCAGCTAATGAAAGGAAATATTCATTAAATGCACTTGCGATAGCTTGTGGATTGTTAGTGGACTTCCCTTCAATATTCAAACTTTGTACGTCTTCATTAACAGATTTCTTTCCTGATTCAACTTTCACAATATCCCAGGTGGTTTTAATTTTATTGTTTGATTTTAGAATTTGGCTGTTATAGTTATTCTGTTTGGCTTCTTTAATGACTTTTGACAAAATTTTACAGTACATTTTGTAGTGACTTTTTAGTCTTGGATCATTACTGTCCCTACTGGCCAAATATAGTTGTCTTTTGTGTTTACATGAAGTTTTTATTCCAATTGTTATCCAGGTGGATTTGTTTTTATTTTCATTTTTGACTATTTTTAAGGGAAAGCTTGAATAAAAGATCCTCAAGTATGTGTTCAGAAAGCAATTAAATTTAGAATCAATATTATTGCTGTCAAATACATTGTCCCACGATTCATTACTTAATTTTGTGACAAAATCTGCCATCGTATGCTTGTTGATTTTCCTTACTGTTTTATATTGTTGATTACTGGGCTGAAAGTCAATATTATTTATTTCTATGAGTTGAGCATCATGATCGGATAAGCCATTTATAAAGGGTCCTACAGTATAGTCTCTTAATTTTGAGTTATCAATGAATATATTATCTATCGCTGAACTAGAATTATTTTGAACTCTTGTGGGAAAGTTAACAGTACTGGAGAGATTGTAAGATGATAACAAAGAGTCTAAATTTAGTTTCCTATTACTGTCGATGAGATAGTTTATATTTATATCACCACAAATTATAAATTCAACTTTTGAACCATGCAGTACATTTAGGATGGTTTCTAATCTATTTAAAAAGTGATTGAAGTTTCCAGATGGGGCTCTATATAAAGTCAGTATACAAATATTTGAAAAAGGAGAGTCTAACTTTAGAGCACATGCTTCCAGATCCTGGTCTTTGCAATAATCTTCTAAATTTATTTTAGTAAATTTTAGGTTTTTGTGTACAAAAATACTCACTCCTCCTTTCTCCAGTGTTTTCCTACAGTATCTAGCACCTAAATTATAATTTTCTAAGTGAAGATGTTCTAATTCCAGCTGTTTCATGTGATGTTCAGTAAGGCACAGTATGTGTGGAAGATTTGAATTCATGGAGCTTATTAGTTCATTTGTTTTGTTTCTCAATCCTCTTATATTCTGATGGAATATTCTTAGTACTTTATTATTCACTGAATTTAGTAGACTGCAATTACCTTTTCTGATTTCTATATGTGACTTCAGGATACATTTATAAGGCAGCACAGTATGCATATGGATTGTGCTCATTGTCATGATTGGCTTTTTGGGAAATACCAAACATCAATTCATAATATGCATGGTGCAGGGCACTTTTCAAATAAATGATGAACATGGCTGTTGTCAGTGTTGGATTAATGTAAACTGACTCATGTAAAATCTTTCTTTGAAGCCCTTGAATTTTTTAAGAAATATAGGGATAAAATACTTGAAAGTATTTAACTTCATTGTCGAATCAGATACCTGATTTCTTTTCCTAAGTTACCACTACTATTGGACATGCATTATGGCTGAAATGCCCAGCGAGGGGTAATATGAATTTCAAAGTCAGTACTTGCTAATAGGATGAAAGGAGAAGTTATTGTTTTATTACAGAAAGTGAAATATTAAATAGTGCACACAGTGCTTCTAATCACTGCATACTAAAGAAGAAGGGGTAACTGCACAAAGATGTAGTGCCAGTAACAGTATGTAACAATTCATCTTACTTATGATGTATGCCTTATAGTTTAGGCATTAAAATTCATGAATCTCATATAATTTTGTACATAGACTTATGCAAAATTTAAGAGAAGGAACATTTAATCTATACTCTATTAGTGATTACTAGTTGATATTACATACACCAGACTTCCTAAAGAAATAAATGAGTGTAGGGTAGGATATGGAAAGCCTTATTAATGATATTTGAAAATATTTATTATAATAAAATCAATATAAAATATAATTTTAAGGAAAAGGAATATGTAGTCCAGTGACGGGTTATGTACATGTATGTTTTGTCTGACAGTAGTTACATACATTTTTATAACAGGAAGTTTTAATGGACTACACTAGGGCGACCAACTTTCGGTCATGAATTTAAGGGAGATCTAGTCACTACACTGCCATCAGTTGTTACTGACTCCATGTAACTGAATTTTTCTCAAGAAGCTGATAGTTGCTTTACTACTCAGGAAATTTCCACCCTCGTATGAAATCTGGTTGTTCATTATCATGTTTGTAAGGACCAGATGAATCTATTTTACACCGTCGCACCTGTTTCTTGCAGATCAATTGTAATATTATCCTCCTGTTTATGTCTAAGCCTTGCTAGTGGTCCCTTTGCTTCATGTTTTCTTATCAAAGTTTGTATGCACTTCTCTTTTCTCCAATGCATCCTACAGGCCTACCCATCTCCTTAATTCTAATAATATATTGCTAGCAGTATTTGTTGCGACATGATGACTGACAAAGACAGCCATAACTTAGAAATGACTCGATAAACAATTTTCCAAAAAAAATGAATAAACACGCAATGATAAAGGAACTGTTGAAAGTGGTGTTTTCTATTCGGTCTGACCCGATGCTGTATAGTGAGTTGCTGACAACAGTTGCACTCACTCAGGGAGAGAGCTGAAAGCTCTCAGAATCATCGGAGAATAAAGTGTGGTCAAGGCTATCACAGGGCTCAGAACCAAGAATCACTGTGCTGTTGAGGGACAGCAGAAATTTAACACTCAGTTGCAGTCAGTATTACTTGACTGCCAGTAAGAGTCAGGGATGACCAGTGAGTCATAAGTGACAGTGTAGACCACATAGGCACTCCCTCATAGGTCCAAATTTTCTCCTCACTATCCTCTTTTCAAACACCCTTAGTCTATATTCCTCCCTAATGCAAAAGAACACGTTTCACACCCATACAAAACAAAAATATAGTTCTGTGTGTTCAAATATTTATGTGTTTTATAGCATATGAAAAGACAACAATTTCAGAATTGAGTGGTATAAAGTATTCATTGATATTAAAATGCTCTTAATTTTTTCACAAATGCTATTTTGACTTGTCAGTGGCATTTCCAGTTATATGTACTTACATCTGCCACATTTTCAGGAGGTCGATTTGTTATCATTACGTTATGATTGTATCCTGCGAATTCTGGTGATAGACATAAACATGTACAAGTTTTGTACACTGTTTCTTCTAGACATTGGGCTCTGGTGTTTGTAATTATGGTATTAAGATTTCCCCCAGTAAATTACTATTATCAGCATAGACCAGAAGCTGGTATGTCTCACTCAATTTCACTCCCACTTTGTTTTCTTGGACCTTCATAATGATGTATTCTAGAGTAAATTTGAAAAGGAATATAAAAAACGCATCCCTTTGTTTCTAGGATGAAATGTATCAGACAAGTTTTTACTTATTCAGAGTTAATTATAGGTTTCATTTAAACACGTTTTAATTAGCTAAAATAGTTTCAAGGGGAATGCCAAAGTCAGTGAGAACATTATGCAATACTTCCCTCCTATCTACAAGTAATTATAGCAGTCTTTGTAATTCGCACACTCTACTTCTCACTACTGCACACACCAAGCCTTCTTAGTTTGTCTTCAATAATCATTGCCTGGTAACACATCCCAACAACATCCTCTGCTTCTGTGCTTACATCCTCACTGGCTGGCAACCGTCTCATAACTAACTCATTACACTAAAGAACACAACATTTCAGAAACCGGATCTTTCTCCATTCTCAGGTGATGGGGTATGAGACACCTACTGTATTAGCTCTGTTAGAAAGAACTAACCTTAATCAGTGTCCAGTGTCTGAGGTTAGCTCTTTTTAAGGGACCCAACAAAGTAGGTGTCTCACACCCCCTCATGTGGGGATCAAAACAGATTCAGTTACCTATCTTGGTATAGTGGCATAGGTTGTCCAGTGACTGAAAGCTCTTTGTAACAGACCAAACAAAGTAGGTGCCTCTCACCCCCTCACCTGAGGATAGGAGATCCAGTTTCAAAAACGTTGCTTTCTTTTCTGTTGTTTCGAATACTGGACAATGGACAACATAAATAAAATTCAATAATCCCAAGTGTTATATATCATCATCGGAACACTTTGCATTCCTTATTAAATTCATTTTTGTCTCTATATAAATATCTAATTTTTCTTGTTTTTACTGTTTGTTGCAAGCTTGTGAATTTTGTTTTTCATGTATTCCCTCTATATGTTTCGAATATGTCTACTAGCTTCACACCTTACATTGTCCAAATTATCCCCATTTGTTTGGCTCTGATCATGTAACCATTGCAGATTAACTTGTCAAGCCATAGGGTATGATATTTCAGTTCCTAATAACATAGATTCTCTTTGGCTGAAATTTCTGTATTTTCTCTGCTATATTTACAAGCCTTATTGATCATGCATATTGTGAATAAAATGACGCAGTCTTTAACTGGTAGTATTTTATTGCAAATTAGTCACTTAATGTTCTTATAGGAGGGATACAGTAAGTACTGATGCAGTGGTAATATGTCATCCATAGCTAGTGCTAGAACTCTCAGAGGGGTGTTCTTCACTTATGCTGTACTTCATTCATCAGCCTTGTTATCTTTACACTTTCTCTATGAAACAGAGAAGAAGCATAAGAATTTAATCAAGTTCGGTGATGAATTTAATAGCTGAAATTGTAATACTCATGGGCCTTCTTGCAGAAGCTTCACTAGTATAATGGGATTATGCATCTAAGTTGGTTGAATTTCTGTGTTTAAAAATCCCAGATCTGTAGCATGAGGGCCACCATATACATATGATGAAGAATGTAGTATACAGCATTCCCTAGTTTTTCATGCTGGTAGCAATAACAGAATAAAATGAATTGAAATTCTGTAGTGTTCATTCACACTTCAACTTTCAAGTAACCAACATGCAGCTACGTAAAATTTGCATAATATAACACTTGAACCTACTTGTTGTATATGTTGGACTGAGCAGAGCACAGCATGCATGAGCCCGAAGAACCCCCAACACAATCCAGCAGTATTCGAGGTTGTTCTCACTGCAGATAGCCACCACATCTCCATATGTTACCCCCTGAGCCATTAACCCTTCACTCAGTTTCCTGCTCATGTCGAGGATCTCTGCAAATGTAATTTCTTTTTTAGTTTCTGCATCCACCTGTACAGAGAAGAAATTGACACTATATTAGGTAAGATGAAATTATGCCACATGCAAGACAGATAAAATACACAATGTAAATATACAGTTGTTGTTTAAATCAGTAATATGCATTACAAAAATTGGTCCAATATAATACAACTGTATTATTTTTAAAATATAGTTTATTAATACACAGTTCATGATTTCATGTATAGCATATGTAGGAGAAATTTATGAGCATTTATATCATGAGGGTGCCATGTTGAGGCATGTTCCAATTATTGAAGGTGATGAAAATGGAACTTGGTACCTGGAGCTAGAACTGGTCATACTTTCATTGGAGGGCATAAATACAGAGACCTGTTCCTCCAGGTTAGGGATTGGACATTAGGCAGAAACCTTGCTCTATAAAATAATTATTTTTGTGGCACCCAAAATAGTGAAAATTGGATGCACTACAATTCTGACAGAATCTACTAAGGAAGGCTATGGCTTAAATGTGCTGTTTTGCCAATGGTGATGATGAATTTTCATGAGATTACTACTGAACTCTTTTCATACCTGAATTGGTCATTATTAGTAGATCAAATAAATTTTTAGTTAGAAGGTAACAGGTGAAAATGCAACAAATTGAATGATTGCATTAAGCATGGATACCAATGGGCAGACTACGCATTTGCCCCCCCCCCCAATCCTGGATATTTGAAAATAAATTTAAGAGAAACAAATATTACCATTTTAAAGCATTTTTAATTATATCTATATATTTGGACCAAAGAGAGATGAAGTGACAGGAGGTTGGAGAAAATTGCATAATGAACAGCTTCATAACTTGTACTCTTCTCCAAGTATAATTAGAATCAAATCAAGGAGAATGAGGTGGGCAGGGTATGTAGCGCAAATGGGGAGTAAATGAATGTATATAGGATATTGATGGGAAAGCCAGAAGGACAGAGACCGCTGGAAAGACCAAAGCATAGGTGGGTGGACAATATCAAAATGGATCTTAGAGAGGTAGGTTGGAATGGTATGGATTGGAGGGCTCTTGTGAACATAGTAATGAACCTTCGGGTTGGGAAATTCTTGAGTAGCTGCACAATTAGCGGTTTCACAAAAAGAGCTCAGCTCCATGAGTGAGTGCGTGAGTGTTATATATATATACACACACACACACACACACGCGCGTCATCCTGAATACTCTAGGGAATGGTTCCTGAAGCTGTGGGTCTCGATTCCCTGAGTGCTCGCTACCAAATCTAGAGGTACAAAGTTATTAAAAATTGCTTAGTATACATTTGAATTCAGGCAGAATTCTGACAAATCAACAAGATTCAACTAAAAGTTTCCGAAAATACATCTGCACTCGGAGAAATATGTATTTCGCGCAATTTTTGAGTCTGTACAGGATTATTTTGTAGCCTACTATAAGTTGACATGTTGCAAAACTGCGGTCCTCGTACAGTATGATGGGGCCCTGGAACGATATGTAGAACTGTACTTTTCTCTGACCGCCGAAGAATCGGTAGGGAGAAGAGGCGTTGTATAAATTGATGTATTATTTTAGGGGCTCGTGATATCACAGAATTTGAGAGCTCCTGCTGTAAGACGGTTAGTAAAACGGGTTAAACTTAACTTTGTACTGAAATTTTCTTGTTACCCCTACTGGAAAACTTGTTACGTCACTCTGGAAAAGAATCCTAACTGCACTCATGGCATTAGGTGTTAATTTTTTTGGGGGGGGGGGATTGTATAGGGAAGGGTGTGCAGCTGCTGTTGTGTCAGAATTAATTCTTACATATGACAGAGTCACACAGAGGACCAACATCTGATTTCTTAAATGACCATTCAGGGCAACGGTAATGCAGAATGAGGAATTCGGATACCCTCAAAAAAAAAAGGACAATATATATTTTGAAACAAATTTAATGTTACCAGGAAATGTGAAAAATGTGTGAATAGAATGTCTCTAAACATTCCCATGGAAAACCTTAAATTACAAAAGAAGTCGCAAATGTTATATCAAACGTTTAACAAAATTTTCAAAGATCAATTCAGGTAACTTAGGAGTGGAGTTTAAGGTTTACTCGTTATCTGGACAAAGAAGGATTTACAATTCGTAGAGCTGCACTGACTTCTAATGGAGCAGTAATAAGTAACCAGATTCAACTGGCCGCAACAGGTTTCGTATTATTCAGCAGGGCCCATGATGGGATGTTAAAAAATTGTATCAACTGAAGGCCATAAATATTTGGTCAGTGATTACTGCTACATCTTATTTTAGCTTACAGTTATTCTTTCATACGAGTAACATCATGTGATTGACGTCTGTAGTATGACTATATTTATTTTTATATTTTATTACAATTTGTTAATCAGGCATTTGGTGAAATCATATCATCGGGTTTCAGTGATACTTCTTAAACATAAAATATAATCCACTTTTAATTTTTAAAATGAAATGAAAAAAATATTAAATTACGATGCAGTCGATCAGAGGGACATATGCAGGTGAAACTTGATAATTACTTTTATATTATCGTTACCTGTTTTTTCAGGAAAGATTAAGAAGTCTTCCCAACGGAGATATCGGATTTTCGGACTTTATCCATCGTCCTGTTTTTTAAGATAACTAAGAAAAAGACGACGTTTCGGAAACTGGATCTGTTTCCGTCCTCAGGTGAGGGGAAAAATACCTATTCTGTTGGGTCCCTTAGAAAGAGCTAGCCTTAAACACTGGATAAAGTCCGAAAACCCGATATCTCTGTGTGTTATACACCATCGTCAGAATCCTATAGTAACTAGGCTTCCCAACGTTTGAAACCACTCAAACCCAAAGTCACATAACGACCAACAGTCAGTCGGCCAGTCAATTCTTGGTCTAAAGCCTCAATTGAGTCAAAGACCGGATTTTTGTTACTGTCAGACAGTTGCGGTTTTGTTAATGTGGGGTACCCTCTCTGACGAGAGGACATTTCAAGATATTCAGGACTTGTTTTGGACGTCTGTTTGAAATATTCGCGTGACTAGAAATTAACTATTTTGCATTATTCTTCCATGCAGCCCTTTGTATTTAGTTAGTAAATCTATGCGAATCATGACACATAATAAAACTTACCTGGGCAACTTTCGAACCGTAGTTCTTCACTTTGCTTTCTATGTATTCCCATATCGAAATCTGTGGCAGCAATTCGATTGGACGTCCTTTCAAAACAGCAGCAGATGACATGCTGTACCCAGTAAATTAGCTGAAAATAATGAAGGGCTTTCTCTCACACTCCGATGTTACATATGGGAAAAAAACTCACTGACACATCACAGATAAATCTGAGCACAAATACTAAATTTCAATCACGCATTTGTTATATTTCTTCTTCTTCTACCTTTCGTATTTGGACCTCTGGCCTGTTCCGTGTCAGAATGAATCTGGAACTATGGATCTTATAGACAGTTGGTAGGATTCCTTGAACGCGTGATCATCCCTGTCGCAAGACCGCTACCTAAGCAGGATAACACAGACACAGAATAAATGCGGACAGACATCCGTGCCCTGAGTGAAATTCAAACCCACGAACCCTGTGGTTGAGCCGACGAAGACAAATTGCCTTAGACCGCCCGGCAACTATGAGCGGCAGTAAAATTTCGTGGCTAAGGAAAAGTAAAATAAAAATTCATCCTTCAAACTAACTCTTTAAATTCTGTTACCTTGGTTTTCCATCATATGAGCTTCGTTTTCTGGAAAAGATGTGTTCTTATATGTATTACTTGAATGAAATGAGCGCAAAGAGAAGTGAGGTCTGTTCACCTATTCGTATGTTTCATCTGAGAAACTACTTAACTGATTTCGACTAAATTTGGTAATATAAGTTTACATTTCAAGAGAATTTCACTCTGACTGACAGCGTTCTAAAAATTCCATGGAAGAATACTGGTTATCTCCATGCTATGTGAGTTGTACTATACTGCACCAGAAAGTACGCAGTTTCTGTGCTAAATTAATATCAGTTTAGTTGAAGGGAATTTAAATGTAATATTTATTAAGACCATATTTGTTTGAATCTGTTAATTCGACCAAATAATTACAGATTTTCTAGCGTCCTTCATGTAAGATTTCTTATTTCCCTACTTAAAAGCATAACGGACAAATATTGAGCATTATACTTAGCATTTATCGCCATGAAGCCGATAATCTCTCAGCGAGTCAAAGGCAGATTAATCTAATCAACACCCTCACCCCCTATTTCTTCAGTGCCTCCTCATCTATCCTTTAGTCTTCCAATGTGACATTTATTTAAAATATAAAAGAATATTGTACACAAATATAAGTAATATATTAGAGTATCTTAGTGAAGTAGTTAGTTATTTTAGAGAGGGTGGTTTCCCATGCACCGCGACCAGTTTGATCTATTTTG